ATGTAAAGTGTGTCTGAATATTTCTATAATTTTACAAACAAACAGAATGTAATTTAAACATGTAAAGTGTGTCTGAATATTTCTATAATTTTACAAACAAACAGAATGTAATTTAAACATGTAAAGTGTGTCTGAATATTTCTATAATTTTACAACCAAACAGAATGTAATTTAAACACGTAAAGTGTGTCTGAATATTTCTGTAATTTTACAACCAAACAGAATGTAATTTAAACATGTAAAGTGTGTCTGAATATTTCTATAATTTTACAACCAAACAGAATGTAATTTTCTTCTAACCTGTGTTGTAATTTTTCTACAAGTTGTTTTAAGTTTATTCTATGCTACGTTTTACCAAGAAACTAAAGATTCCAATGTTGAACTAATGGATTAAGTATTGATTGTAAAACATTTTCTAGTTTCTAGATAGATTTCGAGGAATATTGGTTTTATTTTATTTTTCTCACAGCCGACTATTGTTTCTCAACCCAATTTCAACGCAGAGAAAGCAGCAACCAAGCTACACAGATGTCTAAAAGGAATTGGTTAGTTTTACTTGCGTCTTCAATTTAAATAAAAGTAGTCTTACTAAATGTTTACAAAAATTTACAACTGAGAAAAAAAAGTCCAATACATTCAATAAACTGTTGTGTGTGTAAAAAAAAACAGAGTTCAAAGAAGATTCTTGTTAACCACAATGTTAAAATAGATACCAGAGTTAAAACAAGGTCCATGTTAACCATGGTGTTATAAAAGATACAAATGTTAAAGTAAGAATCATGTTAACCACATTGTTAAAATAGATACCAGAGTTAAAACAAGGTCCATGTTAACCATGGTGTTATAAAAGATACAAATGTTAAAGTAAGAATCATGTTAACCACATTGTTAAAATAGATACCAGAGTTAAAACAAGGGCCCTGTTAACCATGGTGTTAGAAAAGATACCAGAGTTAAGGTAAGAATCATGTTAGCTACAATGTTAAAATAGATACCAGAGTTAAGGTAAGAATCATGTTAGCTACAATGTTAAAATAGATAACAGAGTTTAACAAGAATCCTGTTGCCAAAATATTAAAATAGATACCAGAGTTTAACATGAACCCTGTTGGCCTCAATGTTAAAATAGATACCAAAGTTTAACAAGAATCCTGTTGACCAGAATGTTAAAATAAATACCAGAGTTTAACATGAACCCTGTTGGCCACAATGTTAAAATAGATACCAGAGTTTAACAAGAATCCTGTTGGCCACAATGTTAAAATAGATACCAGAGTTTAACAAGAATCCTGTTGACCAGAATGTTAAAATAGATACCAGAGTTTAACATGAACCCTGTTGACCAGAATGTTAAAATAGATACCAGAGTTTAACATGAACCCTGTTTACCACAATGTTAAAATAGATACCAGAGTTTAACATGAACCCTGTTGACCACAATGTTAAAATAGATACCAGAGTTTAACATGAACCCTGTTGATCACAATGTTAAAATAGATACCAGAGTTTAACATGAGCCCTGTTGGCCACAATGTTAAAATAGATACTAGAGTTTAACATGAACCCTGTTGGTCACAATGTTAAAATAGATACCAGAGTTTAACATGAGCC